CTGCTTCGTAGGTCATGGTAGCTAGCTTGCGAGCGTTAGTTAGTTATTCATTTCTTGGGCCTACTCGGGAACGTGGCCGGGCACCTCCTCCTGGTTAGCTTTCACTAGCAAACCCCCTTTGAGGTGTTTCAGCTAGACACTGTTTATGTACGGTGGGCGCGAATGTCAAGCTAGCTATCGGAGCTAGCAAAAGCTCTCATATGCTTCAGCTGGAGCTGTTTAAGCATTTGTTAGTGCAAAAGTAAGTTGGCAAAACATTGTAGCTGTGTTTGTTAGCAGTGCGTCCAGCATTAGCAAACCAACTTACACAGGTAACGCTATTATTCTTATATTACTTAGTAACGACCCTGTCAGTGTGCATATTTATGCTCACCTTGCATTGAGTGTCTTGGCTGTGGTTGATCTTCTTGTTTATAGTCCGATAATGCAAGCAGCAAGTCAGACTGGCCTCCTCATGCTTGAACTTCAAATATTCAAAATATTCATAACATGATTATGTGTCATTACTTTAATTAATAACATTTTTAAAGTTATTGTGTTGCACATAGAGGAAACACTTTATGGTTAATGTTTCCCTAGAATTAATGTCATATCAATGACATTAACCTTTTTTGTTTTTGAGTGAAATCTGTGGCAGTTTTTAGGTTTCATCCATTCTTTGCCACATTAAAATGCACATTAAATTAAAGCTTAGTACAGAAAGTAAGGAAACTTCTTTGGTTAATTATTTGTTTGTTTTAATGCTTCTTGGCAATAAATCTGATATTGTTGGAAAGCCTATTTATTTTCCCTTAAATGGTGCCATATTTGTTTGGAAATTGCATTTGTGGGTTGAGCAGCAGAGTTGAGTATATAAGTTGCGCCCGTGGGGAAAAAACGTGCCAAACCTAGTCTGGGACTGATGAGAAGATGTCATCTAAGATGACAACATCACAGAGCAGGGTTTATCAGAGACTACTTCCACAATTTAGAAGTGAGAGGATCCCTGCAGTTCTGGCCTCAACCTCACCGAGCACTATTGAGATCAGCTTGGGCGTATTGTCGTGCTAGAGTGACCAACACAACTGTATAGAGATTGACAGACCACGTGACTTTCGCGCATTGCATGCTGGGAACTCGTGGCAAAACAATTCAAGTACCGCATCAAATGCAAGCATTTGCAGCACCGCAAAACGACAATTCATTATTTATGCACAATAAACAAAGGAGCATAGCGCGGCAATTTCTGTTCAGCGCCAGACTTGCTTGTAACCTATATCACCAATTATGTTATGAAAAATGACGTATTAACTACTACAAAACACTGACCTTTGTGGAAATGTTTGGAGCAGACTAACCTGTGAGCTGGAGGGTTCTGAGACGTTATATTTGGTCTTTGATGGGCTGCCATCCGTCGCCTCTTTGTTACTTCGGAAACATGGCTCGAACAATTTCTCTTCAATGACGTAATCCGATAACAACTGATCTCTTTACCTGTCGGCTTCCCGTGGCTGTTATACAACCGGCTATTGCAGTTAATAATACAGCAGCTTCTTGCCATTTTTTTGTGTTTCTTTTTATCGCTGTGTAACTGATTTCAATTGAAAGCCTGCGCGCGCTAGTACCTCTTGCCACGAGTTCCCAGAATTCTTTGCGGTTTTACCCCTGAATGACGTCACATTTTCAATCTCTATTGGCTGACTATCCCACGCAGCTTTCTATTATCTTTGCCACATCAGTGTTTTGATTTCTGTAAAAACTGTAAAAAGCTGTAGGTGAAGTAGAGTGACAAATTCTTGGCAAGAAACATTTTTGCAACCCTAAATATCCCAGCATTGCCAGTATAAATGCACAGCTATTTGGTCCATAGAAGTGCGATCACTTGTGACTTAAAATAACATTTTTGATATGGCAGCAAGGTTAAGAAAGTGTTTGAAGCTGCTTAAGGCAAAGTAACAATAAAAATGTTGGAGTCAAACAAATCTTTAAGAACACGAAATATGGTAAACAAAATAAAGGTAACAGCAGCTACAAATGATTGGTGTGAAAATTCAGTAAGTGACTGTCATCACTGTCTTCTTTCAACTGCTCTCTTTACAGCTTGCGACAGCAGATCATCTGCCTTCATCTATCCCTAGCATACTCTTCTGTTGCATCAACCCGCTGTACGTTGTCTTTTACTACATGCCTCTTTTCTGCGTGGTTTGCAACTCCATCTTTAACATCCTTTGTCCAGTATATCTACTGTCACTCCTCTGCACATGTCCAAAACATCTCAGCCTTTTCTCCTTTGCTAACTGCTCTATCTGAGCTGCCCCTCTAACATATTCATTTTAAATCTGGTCCACCCTGGTCTCTCACAGTGAAAATCTTAACATCTTCATCCCAGCTTCCTGTATACATCATAGAGGTCTCACTACCTTCTCTTTCACTCTCGGTGCTGTCCTTCTATCACAAATCACCCCTGGCACTCTCTTCTTCACCTGTTTTGCACACATTTCATTGCTTTCAGCTATTTTCGGCTACTCCCGTATTGCCACAGCAGGTAGCTATCCATGTTTGACTTGGCAGATTTTAATGCCAGATGCCCTTCCTGATGCAGACCCTAAAGGATTTGTCTCCTCCCCGGACACTGTCCATCACTTTGCATTTTGCAAATCATAGAACACTTTATGTTGGTTTCTTCTTTAATTTATCACCCTATCTGTATCAGCTAAGAGATTTCCTTTTCTTTTTTTTCTTTTTTTAAAATATTTGGGTAGTGTAAAATTAATGATGGGACCTGTGTTGATTTGCATTACATGTGAGTGGCTGTGAGTGAGTGCAGTTTATCGCATGACCAAACATGCAGCCATCTGGTTTTGCTCAGCAGCACAGCTTTGTTGAGGCTCTCCCAGTTGGGCATGCTTCAGAGGCAGAATCACAGTATCACAGGTCTGCACATTTTTTTCCTGCTGTCAGGAGTAAGTGGAAATGCACCTCATCATGCCAGTGGAAATGAGGGTCAGTCTGTAGCTTGAGGACCTGATCCCATTTCTGCAGAAAGACCTGATAGATTCTTCTGCAGTCCCTCCAATCTAGGGCATGCTTCATCTGCTCTGTAGAATGAGGTGTTGGGAGGAAAGACCTCTGCAAAAGGCAGCTCTGTCCAAGCGTGTCTTTTACCACATATTTTTTTATGGTTTCAAATGTATCGCTTTTTTTTTGGAGTAGACATGATAAAGCATTAATATAGTTTGGTCATAGTCACTAACATCCCAAATGACAATGGGCCTCATTAATAGTGTTTCCTATATTATTTGTTTTTCCCTTTTATTCATATATATATATTTATTAATTTTTTTAGGGGTGCAACGATACTCGTATCGATATTGAACTGTTCGATACAGTGCTTTCGGTTCGGTACGCATATGTATCGAACAATACAAAATTTTTAATTTATTTTTATCAAATTTCCTTCTACGATGCTGTCTGTGTTGAGCGCTCAGTGGATCTGCGCTCGACAGTGCAACCTAGGCGGAGTAGTCGAACGCAGATTCACTGAGCGCAGGGCAAACTAGCGAGACAGAAGTTAAGCTCTCCTTGCAACATGGCAAATTGAACCTCCCCCACCCTCATTCAGATCTGGCGATTGGAACTATTTTGGTTTTCATGTGACGTATGACCCTGAAGGTAAGCACGTCATGGACAAAAGTAAAACAGTATGTCGGATGTGCCATGCAATGCTCAATTACATTGGTGGAACTAGTGCATTAGCGCAGTTAGCTCGTTAAGGTGTTGGCCGTCCAGCCCCATGCACGGGGCGATCCGCGGTAGCTCGTTAACGGAGATTTGCCGTGTTGTGGCGTTGACATCATTTCAACGAGATTAACGCTGACAGCACTAGTGGGAACACAATGAATATGACTGCACATTTAGACAGCCGTTAGCACATGATTCTCCTTATGGGGACCTGATATGTTTAATATGCTGCTGAGAATATAGCCCAGAAGAAGCGTATAGTATAGCTTTTATTTTGGAAAGAGCCATTTCTCTGTAATAAACTCTCTTTTCCAAAGATGAGTGATTTCTCAATTAGATAGATTTGTTTTTTAAATTATTTTGTTGTTTCAGCAACATTAAATTTAAAAACTGTACTTTTGAGTTAAAATATATATTTATAATTTTAATAAATGACAAATTAAAAAAGCATGAACATTTTTTTGTATCGAAAAAATATCGAACCGTGAATATTGTGTATCGTTGCACCCCTAATATATATATTGTGAACAAAGATGGGACATTCTGTTGGCTTTTTGCATCAGTGACTTTGCTTTTCTCCAACCAAACAAAATTGGTCAGTGGTCATATGCAAAACTTTCTGCATTTTTTTTGTGCATAAATTAAGGTGATTTGTATACACATAGGTAAATAAAGCTCAAGGCTTAGTGTGTATGGGAAATGTTTCTCTATAATTTCTCCAAAGGGTTTATGGGTAGCAGGAAACTTAGAATTCTTGCTTCCTTATTGTTGTTTTGTTTTACTCGGGTTCCTGCTGGGTCAATTTAATGTTGCACTAAATTATTGTCGCACAAACACCTGCTATAATGCTAATTGGCACACTACAGACAGACTCCAGGGAATTAATTTTCTTCAAAGCTATATTAACAAGAGATTATCCAGTCATAGTTGACCACTTTTACATACAATGATAAAGGCTCTACCCTTCTGTAATCTGCAATTGGCAGACTAATACCTGACGGACACTTTGCTCCTTAAATCTACTTTACATTTTTTTTCCAGTTGCCTTTTTTCTGTGTGAAAATGTACTCTCAAACGGTTTGGGGGTCACCGTAGGTCTGCCAAACCACAGGGTTTGCTCTACACTTGGGGAACCCTGGCATCAGTACTCAGAAAAAACATATTTAACTGTGGAATTAATTGAAATAAATATGTGTGCTTGTGTTGTATACTTTTAAATGGAGACTGTCTGCTTTCTATTGCTGACATCCTTTTGTTCATGTTGTCTGTGTGATTTACAGGAATCCATCCTGTTTGACCACCTGATTGCCTGCCTCACAGGGTAAATTGGCTGCCATGATGCTTGGGCTACAGGGAAACGCTGCCAAAGTGTATCGCTGTGTGGCTTGTTCAGCCACCTTTACTGGATTGGCCTCATTGCTAGTACATCAGGCAACCCATGCCAGCCCACCCTCCAAGGTCACCTCCCCTCCTCCAACCCAGCCTAACATCAGCCCACATGAAACGCCGTTTGCAAGTACAGACTCATCCATCGAGCACCTAAGCTCGCCAACACTCTTGCCTGACAGCCCTACACCTTCTTTCTTTATTTGTGATTGTGGAGAGGAATTTCAGGACTTTGGTCTTATGCTGGAGCACAAACGTTCACATATATCTCAAATACAGCTGCTGCAGCCCCTGGATAGTAACATTGTTCTCCCCAGTGCAACAGATTGCAATAAGGATTTTCCAACCCAGCGTGTATCATTCACTCCTGTAACCCAGTCCAGTTTGGCCCTTGCTTGTCCCTCTACCTCCAAGTCCCCAGCTGTTGAATTACCTACTTTAACAGCCCAAAAAGCAGATGTAAGCCTGGAGGACAATATTGCCATAGTAACCGATCCTCAAGGCCAGTGTGCTCCCCCTGAAAATGATAGTGAGGAGCAACTTCAGAACATGCCATCCACTGCCGAGCAAATAACAGAGACTGTAGAGGAAACTAATTTCGAGGAGAACACAAATGCTGTCCGCAGCTGTGAAAAAGGAGAGAATTTGCCCACAAATAACATCCTTATGAAGCTGCTCGCATCAGCGTACATGAAACACTTACCCCTTCCTCAGAGTCAGGATCAGAACGAAAACACAGTTATCCCCAAGCAGGAAGCTGTACCCGTGGATATAACACCAGGATCAAAAACAGAAGCGGCGCCAATCAATGATCTGTCTATTGCACAGTTGAGGCGACTCCTCGCAAAACCCGATATAAAGACAAAGGCTCCATCCATTAGCAGAATTCTTGAGTCCAGTAAGAAGAGGGTTGTCTCTCTGACTAAGACTTTATCTCCTGTTGTAGTTCTCGAGACTCGTCAAAAGCTCATGGATCCTGTTGGTAACGGAACATATGGGAAATACCAGTGTGGCCGCTGTCGTAGGGTTTTTCAGAACCTGGACAGATTGACAGAGCATCATTTTTTACACAAAAAAGAGAGGATTAAGTGTTGTCGTCGATGCAAACAGCTGATCATTGGGAGACTGCCTTTGCCTGACAATCATGTGTGCCCTCAGTTCGGAAACAGGGCTCTACCGCCATCGAGCGCTTTAAAATCCAAGTTTCCATTTGCACAGAAAATAGTGCCGTTCCACAGTCTCAACAATGCGAAAAAGGTTTTCTTCTGTCCAATGTGCAAGCACAGCTATGCACGGAGGTGGAACCTCAAAACGCACAAGTGCCAAGGTCCAAGGTCAGTCCTCTCTCAGCAGATCAATCCCTCAATACAGAAGATGCTAGCACTGCAGTCCACTAACAGCATTGCCAGTGATGGTGTGGATGAAGTCAGTGCTGCATCCCAGAATTCCAAGAGCATTGCCGTGGGCACGGAAGTTACTGGCCGTATCAAGGTAGAGGTGACCTCTCCAAATGCAGAGCAGTCTGCAGTTTCACAATTGGCCTGGGCTCGCCCAGCACAGAGCTTTTCCCCATTCTCCCTGAAATCTCCAGTGATGGAGCAGCACAAGGATAATTCTGTGTGTAGCATTTCACTCCAGCAAGGAGAAGAAAATAACTGGGATGCAGAAGCAGCCAATAGTGACGGTAGTAACGAAGGGCAGTGGACGATGCCTTTGGATGATGAAACGCAGGTGTTCAGTTCTGCAGAGAAGGGTGTTGATGATGAAGCGAAGAACTCCTTTTCAGTCGAACATGGTCTGCGCTATTTCGTCCGGGATGGAGTGAAACGATACCCGTGCAACAGATGTCAAAAAACCTACAGCCGTGCTTCAACTTTGAGGCGCCACCTGCGACTCTGTGGTTTCAGGCCACGTGGGTTTGGAGCTATAGCACAGGGTGGTAGTCAGGGTTTGATTACACTGAATGCCAATAATATCAAACCAATGTTTTCCTGTTTTGTCTGTGGGAAAACCTTCAACCGCAAAGATAACATGATGGTTCATAGAAAAAGATGTCAGTTTCAACGAACCATGGCAGATGTGGAAAGAGGGACTGTGCAGACGAGCTTGCCAGGCAATGGATCAGCAGAGCCAGCAAGTCAAACCCAGGAGGATGATGGAGGAAACTGGGGCATCATGTCACTGCCGTCTGTACTTCCAAGGAGGGTGACGTGTGAGTGTGGGGTCGGATTTACGTCTCCGAGACTTCTCTTGGAGCATTTGCAGAAGCATGCTCAAGAATCGTACACTTGTCCAACTTGTGGAGAAACAGTCAATTCCTGGGCAGACTATGAAGTTCATTTGCAGATTCACATGCATCCTCATCACCAGTTACTGAAGGGACTACAGCCACAGCGATCACAACCACTGTTGATTCGATTTCAGCAGCAGCAACCTCCACCGCCGCAGCAGCAACAGCAACAACAACAACAGCAGCAGCAGCAGGTTCAGTCAGTGCACCCTCCTCCACAGAAGCAATCACACCCAGAGCCACTACCAAATCCACCAAAGAAGCAGGGGAGGATTGTGTGCACACGATGCGGGAATACTTTTGCAACTCGCTGTTCCCTCCGAAGGCACATATCATGGAATCGATGCAAAGGTGCACGGGTTACAAATCAGTTTGCAAGCCCACCCAAAAGCGTGCACTGTTCCCACTGCAACGCTGACTTTCCAAACACCATCAGTCTGATTTTTCACCAGAGGAGCGGTGCCTGCAAGCCTGCCATCAAGCCTGTCCGCTGTCCTGTTTGCCTCCGCTGGTTTGGTACAGTGGAGAGTTTGCAGAAACACCTGCTGACTCACAAACAGTCTGAATCGTACCGATGCGACGTCTGCCAGGGAACATACCCAAACCTGAAATCACTCAAAAACCACCGCAGGAGGATTCATCGCATCATGGCTGGGGACATAAATCCAAAAACACAAGAACAGCTTACATCTTAACAACATTTTTTATAATTGTGTCTTTCTTGAGAGTGTTGGATTAAGAAATGAGCTCTTTTTTTATTATACTGTGTTCTTTTTGCTTTTTTGTTTTTAAACTTTACAGGATGTTGTACAGCTACATAAGGTGTTTTTTTAAAGTGCGATAGTAGCTTAACCCTCTTTAAAAATGTTAAAAAAACAAAAAACAAAACAGACATACTACACATTTTAGTTTTACTAAGTTGATCCTTATTTTCCCTGTGCTCAGTAGCCTGTAAATGATTGAATATTTGATAACCAAACTTTTATCATCGGGTTGGTGCTGTAGCTTGTTGTTGTTCTTGGTGTTAATAAAGATACCAGTATGTGAAACAGAAAAGTTGTGAACTCTCTCAATGGACATGTTAAGTATATTGACCAAACCTTATCAAGTAAAGGGTGCTTACTTCATGTCATCACAGTTTGATATTTTATGCCACCTCCATCATCCTATGTGGTCTTTTGGAGTATTGTATTAATATTTCTGTAACTTAAGGTTTTCATGAATGTGATGTACCAAGATCATTAGATTGCTGCTTCATACTTAAATTGTAGGTACCCAATAGAAAGAAAACATATCTGAGATTTGCATATTTATGAGAGAATACCAATTTCCCTCCCATTTTTTTTATTTCCTTAATCTGTGTGGTCAGTTATAGCTCACTTTGCATATTACATAAGTACTAAGTGGCTTACTTACCAGGCATTACAGCTTTTCTAAAAAACAATGGAGGAGCTCAATCCCGCCACAATTACCTGGACTCAAGGCTGCTGTCTGAACAGGCCACGTTAAAGTGTTTGTGGTATAATGGTAATCAGAATAAATCAACATGGTTGACAAATGAAAAGTACATGATGTGGGTGTGTAGTAAAGTTAAAATGCTGTGATCTACACTTGAGAGCACAGTGCTCAAAAGCTGTACAAACGGGATTTCAAGCAGTTTATTTAATCCCTACTTGAGGAGATTTTAACTTTATCAAATGACCCTCATTAGCAGAATTAGAAGTGCTTAATATCTGTGTGTCCAAGGCAACATTCTAGAGCAAGTGGCACTGAGTCTGCTGCCATTTCCAAGGTCTGGATTGAACATTGTAAGTCAGTGCTTTTCTTTACAGCGTGAAATCTACAATTCACTGACATAAACTGCAGCAAATGCAAAAGTAGATTAGTAACAATCAGTATAGGTATTAGTTTAAGTAAAACTCACAGGCTGTGCCTGCTGTCGGAAGGTTTAATAACATTCGTGTTAACTTGTTTGTGTAAGACTCACTTAGGCTGGATTAAACTGGATTAAATGTACAGGTCTCACTGAGCTAGTGACATGGATAAAGGTCTTACCGCACACTCACCAGACACTATTAGGTACTTTTGGTGAAGCCATTTTTGCTTTCAGAAATGCTTTATTTCTTTGTCTCAGAGTCAACAAGGTGCAGGAAACATTCCTCAGAGATTTTGGTCCACGTTGACATGATAGCATCATAGTTGCTGGAGCAACTGTGTGATGCAGCTTTGAGCTGCACATCCATCATGTGAATCTCCTTTTCTCCCACATCCCAAAGGTGCAGTGAACTCACTGCCATGTTCAAGAAACCAGTTTCAGATCATTTAAACTTTGTGATGTGTTATTCTGCAAGAAGCAGACATCAGAATATGGGTACACTGTGGTCACACAGGGTTGGACATGGTCAGCAACAACAGGTAGGCTTTGGTGTTTAAATGGTGTTCACTTGATACTAGTAGGTCCTAAGTATACCAGTAAATTATTCTTTACACCATTATAGCAGTATTGGGGTTTTTAAGGAGAAGGAAATATTAGCAATATTATGAAAGAATGGAAAAGATACTGAAACGAAAGGAGTAAAGCTTTGACTTATGAACCTTTGTTGTTGTAAAGTTTGATCTCAACAAAATCTCTCTTTATCAAACTATTTGTCAAAGTTCTTCAGGCAATAACTAAGAACTTAGTTTATGTAAAATGAAATTGTAAATTGTATAGAAATTGTATCTAAACCTAAATGTCCAAATCTAGTTCAGTATGGTCAAAGTTGAAGACCTCGTATACAAATAAATTCACTGTGTATTTAGATTATTCTCATATAGTTCCATATATAATTTAATGTGTAGATGTGTTTGGAAACTTGAGACAAACTTCTAACTTTTTACTTATATAAATAAAACCTAATAAAGAAATAATTATTTTGAAACCATATGAATAACAACTATCAAACCCTACAGCGAGTCAACAAATCCAATATATATATTCAATAAATACATTGAAATAAACAAAGTATGATAGATTAGTAGTTTTCAGCATAATTCAAATTATGGACAAAGCCTACAAGAGATAATTACCACTTAATATCCAGAAGCTGTTTCGTATTGGTAGATTTGGCAAGTTTTTCACAGGCACAGCCCACGTGCTCAGCTCTACTGCTAAATCACCAAATATGGCACCATTTAAGAAGAAATTAATAGGCTTCCCAGACAAAATTATTCAGTACTGTGATAACTGTTTACTGCGAAGATGCTTTAGATTTAAAGAGTTCATCTGTAGTTGTAAAATTGACATCAGTGATCTATTATTTCTTTGTTTTTCTTCTCTTTGTCTTGATTAAAAGGTGAGGTGAGTTGTAGTTGAATTGATTTTCTTGAGGTGTTTTAGCTTTAGCATCAGCCTACACCCTTTCGGTTTGTTCTGTAAATTGAATAAAGATAGGGTATCTAAAACTTTATTGCTGGTTTTGTTTGTTTGTTTTGTTTTGTTATGTTTTGGGGGATTTTCTGATTTTCCTGATTTTTATTGTTATACTCGGTGAATGCGTTAAGATTCCCAGTTGGTGGCGCTAGTGCAACATAACAGCGTGTGATGTTTAAGAGAAGAAGATGAGGATTTCTCTTCTTTTTTCCCCTTCTTCCCTCTTGTTTGTTCGGTGTGGTTACAGGCTAACTGCTACCTATTTGTGCTACATACCGGCGACTCAGCCCATTTGTTAATGTCTCGCAAAACGACACCAGACAAACAGTTTGCAGCTTTTCCAAGGTAGTGCCTTACTATTGGGATGGCAGCGGTTTCGTTTTCATGTTGGAATGAGCTAATGATGTTGTATGTGATGTAGCAGAGGCTAACGCTAGCATGCTAGGCATGTAGCAAAGGAAGCGCGCGTTAGATAAAAAAAAAAGCCGTTATTAATTTTACAGCGTTGCTAGCTAAGGTGCTTTACCCTCCAGATGTCTCAAGTGTACAGTGCATTTTTGTGAATAATTCACCGCCTAATAATTTGGTTTTCCTTTCAAAGTTGTAGTGATTTGCTGGTAATTGTGCAGAAGTTTGGGCTTTCCTTTATAGGCGAACAGCAAATGCATTTTAAACATGTAAAAAGAAGGTAAAGGTGATGTTCCGTACACTGCTTGTGATTCATATTTATTCTCAAACCTGCTTCTTCTACCAGGACCAGCGTGCTCCCCGTTAGCAGTGAACACACTAATGCTCAGTGTGAGGATGGAGACAGGAAGGCAAAGCACCCTGGATTACAACTTGGTCACAGACCTGATGAATGGAGGGCAGTTTTGCTTCAGCTGTGAGCAGATATTTGCAAACAGGAAATGCCTGGAGGAGCATATGTGTTCATCCGCGAGTTTCATCTGCTCCTGCGGGACCGAGTTTACTGAGTACAAGCACATGCAGGAGCACAGCACTATGCATGAGCCCGGGCACCAAGTGCTTGATCACAAAACCATACGGAACCGCAGGATAGAGAAGCGCATAGAGGAGGAGGAGAAACTTAAAAGGATACAGAAGGGTGAGGTAATCTGGAATACGCCTAAAATGACCAATGCTTGGACAAAGGCCAGTGCACCCCCAGTTTCTTTGCCAGTGACTCCTGTGCTGCAGGTACCCAGTGCGTCGGTGTGTGTGCCGCAGCTTTGCGTGCAGCCTGCAAAAATTTCACAAGTGCCTGAGTTGAACCCATCAATGTCACAAGCATCTTTGCTCCCAAACCCCGCATCCTCAACAACAGACATGCAGAATATTTTCGCAGATGTTGGCGCACCGACAGTGGATGTCTGGACGCTTTATCAGCCAGTTGTGTTGCTTCCAACAGTGCGCAAGTTTAACAAGCAAAAGCCATACTCTTGTGGTAAGTGTGGGCAGTGTTTTTTCTCAAAGACCTTACTCATCTCCCACCACAACTTTCATGTTCCTGACAAAATTTCGGGCTGCATAGGATGTGGGCTGCTGCTCTCCAACAAAAAGATCGTGCCTCGCTACCATGTATGTAACTCATCAAACAACGGTTCCAAATTCAGGCTAGTCACAGCAAAGCCACTTGGTTTCAAGACTATGAACGTGACAAGTGGGGCAAAGACTCTGAGCGCCCTGGGTCTTCCGACTACTTCCTCTCTGCAGGTGACAAATCAGAATATTGGTGAACCGCCCCCCACTTCCATCTTGAAAATTAAGAGTGTCCCTTTCATTACCAAACAGGGGGTACGTGTCACTCCATTATTGCAGTTTAAGAATGCATCCAACCCCAACATCGGTGTGTCCTTTCCATCAAAGCCTCAGACTCAAAATCCTAGTTTGCAGTTAAAGATGCCCACAAACTCTGCAGGGGTGTCTTCTGCATCAAGTGGCTTCCCATGCCGAGTCTGTCATATTTCTTTTGAATCTGCTCAACTCCTTCAGAGGCACAAGTGTGTCAAAGCACGGGAGTTTATGGCCCAACACGTGCGAGGTGGCATGCAGCAGTTCAAAAAGACGATGCCAGCGGCAAGCCCAGTTCCTGCTCAGGTAAATGGCAAAAGGAAATACATTATACCACCTTCTGGTAATGTGAAGAAGAGCCAAATCCTGACTGTAAACTTGGAAAAAGGGCCTGTCAACGGGAACACGGGAGTAGATAGTGATGATGACTGTTACATCGTTGAAGGCGGACCAGACAAACCTGCTGAGATGATTTACCAAGTAATGTCATCTGTACCAATCAAGACTTGACAAAACTAGTGAGGCACATCCAGTCTGCATGTCATGTAAAATATGGACCAAGCGCATAGAGATGGCGACATCCTGGTTGAAAGGAATCTGCTCAGTTCACTGCACAGGAGCATGATGCTTCCTGGTTTGCTCAAGACTGTTTTAAGATATAGAGAGTAGTGATAATAAAAATGCATCTTTAATTCACCTCGATTTCTTTTGTTAATGCATTTCGAATTTATGAAAGTATGAAGGTGGTACCTCTGTGGTGGTTGCAGAAGATGGAAAAAAAAAAAAAAGTACGTATGTGGGGGTTGAATCATGTTTGGTGCCCTAACCGGCACTATTATAGTTTTTGCTCTGTTTTTATGTTTTTAGTATGATCAGAATGTTGTGAAGCTGTGGGGATTGGCCAAAATGCCCAGTGTGTTCATACCAGCTTTGTAGAGACTTTTAAGAATACAATATATAATGTATTAAAGTATATTTTCAAACTCAGTGTTTTGTGTTCACGACACTTTATAGTATTACGTCACAACAATGTGATTGGTCACTTGCAATGTTGAACCTGGAACAACATTTATTATGATGATTTGGAAATGACACGAGGATATCAGATCCTGCATATTTTAATACTGCATTGTAAAGCGCTGGTAATCTTTCACAAAGTACATCAAATACATACAAACGTGAAAAATAATTCATTATAGATATTTTAAAGATATTGTCTGAAAATGAGGTATATTAATAGTGTATTAGGGGTTTTTTTTCTTAATTTTTATCAAGTTTTGTGCCTCCACTCTTAAAATTGCCTGTTTTTTGTATCCACCAAACTAATGATGGCAGTTTCATTGTCATTAGTGGTTCTCCAGCAGAGGGAGCTGTTTCAAAGCACAAACAGCGACGTCGTGCGTCCATTCATTATGAGGTAACATCCATACCTTAAAATCAAAGATGCTGCATGCGGAGTTCACTTGTTGTCTGTGTGTAATAGAAGCGTCAATTTAAATCCTATGTGTTCAGATAACATATGCCAAACTGGATATATATTGGGTGTACACTGAGATACTTGATGCTTGCACATCTGACACGGACTCCCTGCGAAAACTTAAAACTGCAGAACGAGTAGGAGTTGGGCATACTCACGTTATTGTTAATTGCTAAATGAATGTATGTCTTTTTGCCTTCCACGCTTCTTGTTTATAACATTTCTAATTGTCTCAGCAACACACACATATTGAAAAACAGAACAAATCTGCTGTTTTTGTGTGCGCGTGTTCTGATTACAATTTTTAAAGTTTTCCCGATGAGGAGTTCCGAAATTTCCCACAGCACTCTAACTACGCGCTCTGTGCGCTCGGCTTAATTAACAGTTTTTTCAGATTGCTTTGTGTGTGGATACCGACTGATTCACTTCTGCAAACTGTTCAGAAAAGAAGAAAAAGCGAGGCCCACATTAACAGCTCAGCTCTTAGATCAGTGCATCCCTGTAAGAAAAGGGCGTCCAAAATGCCTCGTAGCCACAGCTTGAGTTAGCCAGTGCTAGCTAGTTCTAGTTTGAGCGGCGGTCAGCGCATGGCTACGCAGAAACCAGTTCTGACTCTCTCCCACGCAGGCAAGCACTTTGTGTTTACTATCACCCATCACAGATGAACTACACATGCGTTACTAGCTGTAAAGAAAGTTGTGTGAGCAGGCGTAGCGATTAATGCTTAAGGTTCGTGTGGCCTGTGATGTCAAATTATCGGAGCTAGCGATGTGGCCTAGCACACGATAACGCCTAACTCACATTGTTAGTCACGGCTTTGGTAGCTTTGAATGATAACTGGTAGCCGGGTTTCTTTTTAAATCTGTAAATGCTGTAAAACATTATAGAAGTGAGCCAGTGGGGCACGGCTGTGTCTGAGAGGGGGTTTAAATGTGAGTCAGCAGCTCGTGAGCATCACAAAGTCTCCATCAGATGAAGTGTTCCTGCAGTGGAGATGAAAGGCAGGATAACAATAGCAACCATGCACATCTTGTCAAGCTAGGCTGGATTTCTTCTGTTACATCTAATGCATATGCCCTGTGCTTTTGCAAACTGCAGTGAATCTACTTTGAGCCTGGATAGTGTGCATGTTTCTGCGGGTTCGGTCGCTTTAAACTGTTGGTGATAGATGATGAGCTTTAAATATTGTCATACAGAGTATTGTTATTGATGCTAAAGATACCTATTGATACCTAAAGATACCTAAAGATAAATAGCTTGTAAGCAGTTGTGTAATGATACATCATTATTTATAAGATGCTGTATGGTTTTTATTTTTTTAAATTGGCAAAGTCCATCTGCTTCTGACTAACTTTTATATAACTGTTGTAGAAGAAATGCTAGATTTACCTCTGGAAATGTAATGGGAAAAGGGTGTCAGTCCCCTTAGAGGTGTATTTTCAAGTCTTGAGGTTATGAAACTCAGCAGTTCTCTGTAAAACCAGTTGCAAACTCTGCTTCTTTCCCAGCGGATTTAGATAATTTTAAAAGGTTGCTCATCTTTTTTGGGGAAAGCTTGACGTTTTGCAAAGCAGCATATGCTTATTGAGCTTGAATCTGGCTGTGTGTGATCCAGTTATGGCCTTTACTATACTTCTCCAGTATATATTTGCAGTTTGGTACCCCTATCTGTAAAAATAGTCAGTGGGTGCATGAGATGATCCCAGTTCAACCATCCACTTTAAACTTATCACGACAAATGGGCATGGCATGCAGTTTATTAGTAATTTTCTATTTTTCATCCTGGGAATAATTACTCCCCAGCCCGAAGCGTTTTTGCTTTTACGCGTCGCTGCTCGTTTTACAACCTCCTTGTCGCTGTTTAATCCACAGACTCTTGACATGGGGAGTAAAATGTCCTTCAGCAGAGGAAGCAGTGACCAAAATACAGTCTCTGAGTTAACTTCTGTGGCACCTCAACCTCGCAGTTCCAATCATGCCTCTTCGGACTGCAAGCAGGTAGCCAGTAAGAAAGACAAGTGGATGAGCTTGTGCTGTTTATTACAGTATACAGCGTCATTTAAATCTGCACTAATGAAGACCGCAGTCTGATGTGATGTGTTATGAAGTCATGCATCTGTGCATATGTGAATATGCACGCTTAGTTTTCCAGTTTGAACCAATTTTGGTAGATATATTTGTGCAAATATCGCTCTATAGTTTTTGAAATGTGCAAATGATTCATGTTCATGTGTTTATTCTTTCCACCTTTAATAAACATGCTTTTCCAAATGATTTGTGCAACAAAAAATAAAATCATTAATTCATTCATGTTCACTCTTCTTTTTACTTCCACAGATACCCGAAGGTAAGACATGCAGTGAGGGAGACGTGGACTCCAGGCGGGGAGATAAAATGAAAGGGACGGCGTTGAAACAGCCTGGGAGCCGGGAGTCTGATGTTCATGTCAGCTCTGAAAGCGCTGGTGAGAGAAACTGTCAGCGCAGTGAGGCAGTGCCCTCGCAGGCAGAGGTGGAAGCAAAATCTCTGACTCCTGCTAGCGTGTGCAGCTCTGCAACAGACAGCCAAGGGAAGCCCGTGATCATCCACAAGAAACGTGGGAGACCCCGTAAAATCAAACCAGCCCCGACTGAAGACAAAAGAGGTCCAGATGCTGCAGATGCTGTTCAGCATAAGGAAGTTAGCACCACCATACCTTTGCCAGCAAGTGTGGAAAACCACAACAGTGACGATTTGCCTTACGCTGTGGATAGTAAGTTAATAAATAGTGCGGCTCATAATGAGATGCCCGCTCCTCAGCCTGTCCTGGATAACAACGTACAAGTCGCTGCTCCTTTGCTGCCAAAAAGAAGACCAGGAAGGCCAAGAAAATCAGAAATGGCAGCTTTTCAAAACCAGGTTTCTATGGCTGCTCCTGGTTCTCATGCTAATAAGTTTAGCAGTCCTGCACGAACACTGAGGAGTAGGGTGGAGCAACCTACTTTGATGCAGGATGATAAGTTAGAATCTCATAGCAAGAAGGACAAGGAGGATCTAAAACAAACTGAAGCGGGGACTACAGAAAGTACTCGTACATCCAACTCTAAAGGTGTGAAGAGACGAAGGACTAAGTTGCAAATTGATCAGCAACTTCCAGCAAAAGTGTCCAAGCTGGATGAATCCGAGGAGGCCTTGCTGACGTTGAGCACTGACATTGACTGCGGAAAAAGCACAGAGACAGAAAAACAGGTGGACACTGACAAACATGAGACTGATTCAGATGTGAGGGATGCTCAGCTCCCACTGCATTCTGGGGAAGGACTAGAGCAGGAGAAGCAACAAGACAAAACTGCATTACCAAAAGCAGAGGTGAATTCCCAGCCTGAGCCTGAAGCTATTCCTTCAGACAGCTTGAAAGAATCTGATTTGCCAAACCCAACTCAGACTGATAACCTTAAAGTAAATCAGTCATTGGACATAAATGGCAGCGAGGAGTCACCATCAGAAACACCAGACTTCTCAGAGTCTCCAGCAGATGCAGAGCTGCCAAAGCCCTCTAGCACAGATACCCTGACTCCCCCTGAGCAAACGCGGACATCTATTGGGGCCCCGTTTGCTGTCAAAGCTGAGAATTTAGAGCTGGAGCATTTAAAACCTGCGCCCAGGTCAAATAGCCCCAATTCTTCCCAGCACAGCACCACTCCCTTAGTTAAATCTGAGGTTCCAAATGTTGTTTTTCGACGCAAGAGAGGTGGTAAGAGGAGGAGGATGGTAAACAAGGTTTTATTACCAAGAGAGCGTCTTGTAGAGAACCACGAAGCGGGTAGTGACACCCAACCAAAAACAAACTGCAGTGATGAGGAAAAGGAAGCTAACGCCAATGTTGGCGAAAATGTCATCTATACTAAAAAGGGGGGTAAAACCCTGTTGAAATGTGGTTACTGTGGTCGTACTTTTAAGTTTCTGTCTCAGTTCGTCATCCATCAGCGCATTCATACAGGAGAGAGGCCGTTCAAGTGTTCAGAGTGTGGCAAGGGTTTTAGCAAAAACTCTAACTTAAATCTTCATCTCAAGACCCACAGAAAGAGCAACATATATCAGAAGTGCCCATATTGCAAGATTAAATTCTCTTGCTCTGAGTACGCTGCACATATGGAAATGCACGCACACGAGCTGAACGAGGAGTGTAAGAACAGCAAGGCTGAGGAACAGAGCAGAGAACCAGCAGAGGAAAGCAGCAGGGAGCTGCAAAGAGCAGTGGAAAAAAGAGAGAAAAAAGTCTGCCAGTACTGTGGCAAATCATTCCCATTTCAGTCGGCGCTCATAAGACACGTCCGAGTCCACACAGGAGAGAAGCCTTATAAGTGCGACATCTGTGGCAAAGCTTTCGGGCAGGCCTATTTCCTCCGTGTTCACGAGCTCACGCATTGGTCTGTGAAGCGTTACAACTGCACCCATTGTGAAAAATCATTTACTCACTACAGCAATGCAAAAAATCACTCATGTAGACCTTTGGGAAGTGATGACAACG